CCGGATTATTGTTACCGTGCTATTGTTGCTTGGGGTTTTTGCCCTTTCGCGGCTGGTGCAGGGTTGATTAGAGTGATATTTGGGGCATCTTTTTTTAATTTTTGCGTTATTTTTTTGGGGGTGGGATCTATATGAGTAATTTAGGTAAGTAGGTAGGTTGTTTATGGGTCGACGTGCTCCATCATAGACCGTATAATCGCTTACCTACTATCAGGCGAGATAGTGGTCAAACGTCGGCCCATCAATTAATATAAAAAAGGTACCTAATAAGATTGTTTCATCATTTTTATCGTTTTTGTTTATTTGGGTTTTTTTGTGATTAAAAGAATTATTTTATATTAATTTGTGATTAAATTCAAATTAAATCTAGGAAAAATGTAATTTAATATGTCATAGGCACGTATTTGTATTAAATCATTCATTTTAGATAACTATAATTGTGCCGTGAACGTCTATTGCAATCTTATACTATTATAATAAAGCGGAAGACAGGAAGAGTTTGTTTTTTTGTTTGAACGCGCTAATCTCCGTATCCACAAGTCTGATTTGAATAATTATTTTTGTGTAAGATAGCGCATTTATCGAGACTGGCTTTTATAAAACATCACGCTACGACCAATAGGAGCTGAGCAGAGCGTGTGAAACCGCGCGGAAGTAGCTAGTGTAAGAGAGTCAAATGAATTGAAGTGAAATGAACAAAGAAAATAAAATCTTTTCTCAGTTTTAGATATTGTCTATGTAGAAATTAAAAAATATAAAAGAAAGTCGTTCATAAGTAGCAAAAAAATACATGGGTATCAATTTAAAATAATTCAATAAAACTGCCTCGTTGGCCGAGTGGTCGCAAGTGTGACTGCCGGGCAAGGTCTCGGATTCGATTCGCAGGTCGGGCAAAGTATTAGGTAGGTACTGGGTTTTTAAAAATCTCAGTTAGCACGGAGTCTGGAAATGTGCCCGGTATATGGCAATAGGCTCACCCCCTATTACATGGGACTCTTAACATAAATAGTGAAAAGTGGGTGTTGCATTGTACAGTGACATTAAGTGCTGTAATGTGCACCTCTGCCTATCCCTTCGGGGATAAAAGGCGTGATGTTATGTTATGTTATGTTATGAATTCAATAAATAAATAAATAAATTACGATTTCAAATTTAAAACGTATGAACGTTGAGATTTGTTAATTATTCTGATATAGCCTTTTGTTATTTTCCTTAACCATACCTATTAAAAGTATTAAATAATAATATTACTGCGATTAATATAAATAAATAACGGTTAAATTTATCTAGTATTTGTTTTAATTAGAGCGTATATCAAAATTGTTAATTACGATTCTGTAACGTAAAAAAAAGGTAATGAAAGAAATTGCTAATATGATTTCATTGCCAACGGTAATATAGTTCATATTACCTTGACATCGGTTGATTGGTTGGTTAGTTTTGGGTTTCCTTGTCTATTATTTAACTAGTTTAGTTATTCTTTCCTATTCCTGTTAAGATAATAAAATGGCACTATTGACATAGTTGTTGGGCGATTGGCTGACAACGTATCGCAGGTGCGATTCCCGCAACGGTACATCAAATTTATTAGTTACTAGCTACTTCCGCGCGGTTTTACACGCTCTGCTCAGCTCCTATTGGTCGTAGCGTGATGTTTTATAGCCTACAGCCATCCTCGATAAATGTGCTATCCAACACAAAAAGAATTATTCAAATCAGACTTGTAGTTACGGAGATTAGCGCGTTCAAACAAACAAATAAAAAAACAAACTCTTCCATTTTATATAATGGTATAAGATAGTACTTATTTATATAATGCTAACTTCTTTCTGCCCGCGATTTCGTGTTTTCTCGTTTCTGTTCGTGATTTTTGGTAAAAAGTAAAAAAAAAATGTATTGGACAAAAAGTATCCTATATCCGTCTACTGGTTCTAATGTACCTCCCTACCAATTTCCATCCAAACCGATTTATCCATTCTTGAGTTATGAATAGTGTAAATAAAAACAAATTTATTTTATACACATACATATATAGATATAATAATAAGAAAATAAATATGGACAACTTAAAATAAACTAAAAGTTATGGAGAAAATTAAATAAAGGAAATCTAAAAATGACTATAACATAGTAATGTATAACAAATTCGACATTTAAATCATGATCATCAACATAAATGCCCACCGTTGACCAAATGCCTCTTCTCACACGGAGAAGGTTGGAGCATTAATCACCACGCTTGCTCAATGCGGGTTGGCGATTACAAACTTATAATTACAAATTATAAGCCCAGGTTTCCTCAAGATATTCTTTTTCGAGCTTTAGAATATGTAATAATAAAAAATGAAACGAAAAATATTATTATATTCCGAATATAAATTGTAATTCCAATTAATATTTTGGAATTCCAGAGAAAAAAATTCCCATATTACAATTCAGAATGGAAATACCGAATTAATATATGGATTGCATAGAGTAAGTACCTATCGGCATCCGCTATCGTTTCCTTTGTATTCTGAATATTCTGATGTTCTGGTATCGTGTGAGAACTTTAATTCCCTTTGACCAATCAGAATTAGAGGATCTGTCTGCGAATATGTGAGGTGTTTGAGGAGAAACGTCGGTTTTCATGATGCGGGAGGCAATGCATCTCTAATAAAGCAGATGGTATTTAGGATTTTTTATTTTATTGGTCGTTTAAGACTTTGACTGTCGACGGAAAACTGTTAAAGGGTTCCGCTAACGTAGGTCACCGGTGACCTACCGGGCGGTTAACGTGTTAACATCTATGTATGTGTTAAATGTGTGGGCAGTTTAAATCAATATTGTTTTATTGTCGTAACTATCTCTAGAATATTATAATGTTTCTTTATCTTGATACATGACATGATACATGTATCTATGTGTAGCCGACAATTTATCAGAAAACTCTAGGTAGGTACTATGCATACCATTTCTCAATCACTTATTAGATAATTCGGTCAAGAATCTTGTAAAAATTTTAGGTATCTACTTAGTTCAAAAAACAATTGACACATTTCTTTTGTTTTTTTGCTACTTTTGATATATTAACATATTCATTCTGCTAGTACCTACTATGCAACAAACCGAACTGATCCAATATTAAAAGTGGAAAATTGGTTTTTTCATTTAACAGTCTATAAGATAATCCATAAAATATTCTAACACGCCTTTACATTAACAAGACAAATAATTATTATAGGTAAGTACTTGTAGATATAAACTACGTTTAAAAAAAACTACTTCAACCCCCCATTTTTGAAGTCGTTTTGTAAATATACCTCTAGTTCTCCTAAGTGTAAAAAAAACTTTTCAGAAAACAGCATCAAAATCGCAAACATACATGCTTGGTAAACTGCAAGCCTCCTTCTGTTTTTGAAGTCGGTTAAAAATATAATATCAATTCTACAAAAATCGACCCAATAGCCAGTAGTTCCCACTCATAAAATTATGCTAGAATTCCCAATAGGTTCAGTTATAACTTAATTAAAAGTATTGCTGCACCCAATAACGGCGTAATAATAGTGGTCGAGTGTCATTTGTCAGGGGTCGAAGGGTGACAATTAAGTTTCCTTTGACACTCGTATTGATTATGTGATCAGCTAGCTCATGGTGAAATTGGATAATTTGGAATGTTAGAATTGAATTTTAAAATTGGGTAATGTATTCCATTCTCAGAGAAATAAAAATTGGAGTGACGAATTAAAATTGGGTTGGTACTTTTCTGTCTACGGAAAATTGCTAAATTTTTATAGGTACAGATTGTTTTCTGTTATTTGGTGACTTTAATATGTGTAATTTTAAAGAAGAGATAAAATAAAAAGAGTACTAGGTACCTACTCATTTATAGAAAATCATATTTTGTAATAATAACTAAGTTTTTTTTTAAACATATTTCTTATCGTAATTTTTTTATCTTCTGTTATACTGTGTCTTATGTTTTTATTACATTTCCTATATCAGGTCTACTAGAAGAAATTCCAACAGGAATAAGTAGCACATTGTTATCCTCTGTGCTGTTGGTGTGTGTACATAAATCATTAAAATAAATAATCGAATAAAAAAAACAAATTACTTATTGTGCTTAATTTATTCGTATTGAGAAAAGTAAAATTAACATCATAGAAATCTTTTTTTAATCTGTCAATAATTTGAATCTAACTAAACTAAGTATTACAATGAAATCAAAATAATTCTTCTTGTTGTAAATTTCAGATTATGAGAAGTAAATAAAATTAGCTGGTATAAACTGTCAAACACCGCGAGGACACCGGTGACTGCAACCTATTGTTCTATAATTGTGTCTATAATGACTCAAATAAAAAACTCAAAGGGTTAAACGGCCAAAAATCTGTTTTTAAATAAATAATGTACAGAAAATGAAATGATAATGTCAAATTATAAATTTTTTTTTCTATTTTTCTTTGAGTGTATATAAGTTTACTTGTTTACCTATATAAAATTGTCATGACAATGATTTTCAGCTTTATTATAACATTTTTGACAAAATCTTTATTACTTACTGACAATATCTTCTATTTTAATCACATTTATTTCGTTTGAAACAGAAAAATAACAGTTTTGTATGTAAACAATTACTTGCAACGTTCCCGTCTCTACTTTTTTTAATTATTGTGGTATAAAGCACAATATTAGTCTGTTATACGTCATTTGTACATCAAAATGGTATTTTTTATATCTGATACATTCATTTTCAACCAAAATTAAGAACAAACATATACAAAAAGAGTAAGGGTTGACATTTTCATCATTAAAAACTATATTTGAACCAATAATATTTTGTCCTAAACGGTCATATTAAAGGAGCATTCTGCCCAATTTTAACACGCCCAACAATTCATTTTCAACCACAATTACCTATTCTATAAAATTAATAATAAATTGATGACTAAGAACTAAAAAAATCAAAACAAACATCTTTTTTTGACATAACAGAAAATCCTTAGGTATTTTCCTACCTTTTGGAGTAACAACTCTGAAGGCGCTGTTGGAGACAGGTCTTGGAGATCCCTCCCGCAGCGAACCAGGTGAACCACTTCCATTTCTCACCATAGAGAAGTCCAGAGGCATAGGAGGCATCGCACTTACTTCCATTGTCAAAAAATTACGGCCTCAAACGCATAACACTAAAAATCTATGAACTAAACCCAAAATACAAAAACCCAACTCAGATTAAATTTAGAAAACCGAATTTAAAAAATTCGAGTCCGATTTTGAAAGGCGAGCGTGCGCCCGGCGCGGGTGGCGACAATGTTTTAAGGCAGACACACACTCGCGGCGCGCTCTCGCGGCTTTCTGTTCTGTAAAGCCGAAAATCTCTAGAATCTCCATAGTGATTTCGACCTTATCGCTTGAGCCGTTTTTCTGTGGGCGTGGTGTGGTAAGCCCCGCCTCGGGCGTCGCAAGCCGCCATGTGCCCCGAGTGACAATCACTTTGTGTAGGTAACACAATAATATGATTCGTGATGGATTTTATTGTGCTACCGATGCATTTGTACGCGAGCAATTTTTCGCTGGTGAAAAAATTCGCGATCGCGCGTATAAGTAGATAGGTATGCGAATATTGATATGTATGGAAATAAAAGTAGGTTGGTATTTGTAATTTGAAAAATAATGTTTACATTTAATATGGAATTGGAATTGGAATCGTATGGAATTCAATTTGAGTAAACGAAATGAAGTGTACTTCCATTTATAAAACAAAAAAGTTATAAAAATTCTCATCCACAAAAAAAAACATTTCAATCAAATAAAAAAAACGTGAGAAAATATTTAAAGTAAATACAATTACATTATTTGACAGTGAAAGTAAGAAATTGGTTTGGTACTTCCCAATTAGTTAAATTCAATACTTTTTTCGAACTGTAAAAAACGACAGATTTCTAATTTAATTTGTTGTATTATTTAAGGGAGCTACATCTGCCAACAAACTGTTTTACATTTTAGCATAAGTAATGTTTTTTCTAAACTATGTTTTTTACCTTGAATAAACGCTTTTTTCATTTTCATTTCATATCAGAGATTGTGTATAGTGACGACACGTTTTTTTAGCGTTATACAACATATTTATTTCTTAAAATTTGCTGGAAAAATACTACAATAAAGTTGGTCATTAAATCAATAAGGTGATGAAAGTGTGATTATTTTTTAATATTTTATTGTAATAATCAGTCGTAATAAAATAACATTTATTTTTAAATGCATTAACTAATCTTTTCAAGGATCGAACTAAGTAATATTAATATTATAAATAAAAATAACTAAAAACTAAAATAATTAGGTACACCTTAAAAAATCATAAACAGGCGAAATAATTTATTTTTGAGTAAGTAAAGTACACAATTGTATGGAATTTCAATTTGAGTACAAACACTGTAGTGTCATTCCATTTATGACATAAAAATGCCGTAAAAAATGTCGACTACAAAAAAAAAATAAGAAAAAAATTCAATTGGGAAAAAAACATAAGAAAATTATTTTAAGTAGATACATTTTACAATGAATATAAATAACTACAATGCTCATTTATATCACTCTATCACTATTCTAAAGAGTGAAATGTGTATGTAAATAGGTCTTTTGTTCTCAATAACAGAGATATGGTAACAAATCAACAATACATATATTGTGTAAGTACTTTACCTACCTTTTAAATAATGGACAAGACATTATCACATAAAAGAATAATGTTACAAGACTCTAAACATTGTTTATAATTCATATACAAAGATATAGTATTCAGAATGTTAACGAATACTATAAACGAAACTAAAAAGTCAAACTCAAAACCATTTATGTAGGTATTTCAATAGGGTAGGTGCCTAATTTTTATTTTAATGTCCGTATGGTACTTAGATTATTTTAAATCATCAGACACGTATTTTTTATTCTTACAGAATCGAATACTTTCGACAATACATTGATTTGAAATGTCGCGTGACGTCACTTCTATGTACATTTTATACGTAGAAATGACGTTTTAGCCCCCACTCCTAAACTTTGATTTGTTTTATCTAAGTATTGTTTTATTACCTATACGACAAAATAAAAAAATAAGTGTCTAATATTTTTTCATTACCTAACTTACGGACTAGTTAGATTTTTGATTTTAATTAACCCTGTCATCATCCCAATTAGACCAAGAAGGCACTTTTGAATGTCAAACAAAAAAATTTAATGCGAAACTGTTTGCTCATTCCAAAGTGTAGATTCCTATGGAGAATAACGAGCTAGAAACTATGGGATACTCTTTTTCAATCAGGTTCATACCTAATAAAATTCTCTAGTTAAATAGATTATAAAAAAAATTAAGTTATATTAAAAACCTAACCTAAAAAACAGTGTCATTCTCAATTTTTTTTGAAATTGATTCTTCTCTTTGTCCATATACTCAAGATGTTTTTTTGTTACCCATGGTCGTCTCACAACAGTGCAACGGCCTCCTCTTCCTTCCACTTATCTCTTTGTAGAGCTTTCCATGGCCAATCCTTTCAATAGGTGTCAAGATCATCTCGCCATTTCCTTCTGGACTACCAAAATACTGATGATTACTAAACAAAAAATATATTTAAAAATTGGGTACTTGTCGGCCATGTAGTTAAATTCAATACTTTTTTCGAACTGTCAAAAACGAGTTTTTTATGAATTTTGTACGGAACTGTGTATTGTGACGTCACGTTTTTTTTAGCGTCAAACAGCATACTTATTTCTTAAAAATTTGCTGGAAAAATACTAAAATTAAGTTGATCATAAAATCAATTAAAAAATGAAAGGGTGCTTATTTTTATTTTAGGAAAGTACCCAATTAAACAACCTTATCAAAATAACTCCCCAAATAAAAAACAATCACCCCAGTACCGTACAAAATCAGCATTCACAAAAACAAATGGCAATTGCGCCCGTTTTAATAACGCAGCGGGTTGGCATTCGTCAAAAGATGATATAATTATCTGTGGACAGACACAGTAAGCCTACTGTCACGATCCAACATTTAAAACAATGAAAGGTTCAATTTTTCACAGTGGGCCCCTGAATACGGGCCGCGCGGGCCCCCGGGCCGCTAATCCGAATGCCTACGCATACGTATTCTGATTGGTTGCGACTTTTTTCGTGAAAATTATTGTAAATATTGAATGTTTGGACAAAACATGGCGTTTTATATTATAGTTTTTTCAACAGAAAAATAATGAGATAAAATTGTCATGATAGTTTTGTAATGATTGTATTTTTATTTTCAATTTAATTATACCTAGATACTTTACTGGATTATGCACCATTAGATACAGTTTATTCAAATTTATATAACATTCTGCTATCGATTAACACGTTAGAAGGTCCCAGTGACAAATGTTACGTAACGAAAAATTAGCCATCAAGAGCTTTCTGTTCTATCATCTATAATTATCTCAATAAGCCCTCATATGCTTCATCATCATCATCAACAGCCTATAAGTGCCCACTGCTGAGCAAAGCCTCTTCTTACACGGAGAAGGTTTTGAGCATTAATCAGCCCTCATATTATATTCTTGCAATGTTCAAAAAAATATATATATATATTGAAGTTACTGTGATCATTAAAATTTTCTGTACCAAAAAAATCCTCAAACATTTTTCCTTGAATGAAATTATTATTTTAACAATGCCGGACAAAAGGGGCGCCGTAAATCCCAGAATAAGGAAGCTGAGCTTGCTTTGCGAAAACTAATTACACCTCCACTTCGCAATGATAAAGCAAAGCCCTCGTATAGGATATTTTTATTCGGGACAAAATGAAATTCCCAAACGTCCCATCCAACCCTAAATTCAACTTTGGTGCGGTAGTGCTAAGGTTTATTTTTTAATGGCTGGTCCTTAGCTACGGGAAAATTTTTACTACGTACTCTGTGCAGAATAATCCTAGCATAATCTCACAGCTAAATCCCATTATTCTGATCATCCCCTCTGTTCTATTCGGGGAGTTAGGAATAAAGCGAAAAAATATAAAATTGTAATCGTAATTCTGTCTTCAGACGTTTGATTTTGGGGATTTAGTCGTAAAAGTTTGCGCGGTCAGAAATCAAAATTTATTAGCTCTGAACGTTTCAATGATTTCGGTTTTATATTAGTATTGGTTCTCTTTGATTTTATTTCTTATCTTGTCTATAAAATATTTTGCCTTTATTATCTGTAGGATCTAAGTGGACTATGATCTCTTTTGTTTTTTTTTTTCAAGCCAAAGTCAAAATCATTTATTTTAGGCCAGAAAGGCAGTTTTGAACGTTACTAACAAACAATTTAAAAGTGAAGCTATTTGCTCATTTCTTTAGAGAAGAACGAGCAAGAAGTGCCGAATCGTTTTCGATCAGCTTCACAATACAATTCTTTAGTTACATATCTTTATTATTTGTTTCGGTAATTTAGTTTATTTATTCATTAGAAAATATACTACCTCCGTTCTCATACAGTAAAATATTCAAATTATTTTTAATTATCAACATAAGATTTTAACGATGAACCCTCCACAACCGCAGTTCATAAAATTTTGCGCTAACCATCAACCTGGCCTCCCAATCCTTTGCTCATTTTAATACGGTTTAAAATTCAAAATATTTGAGGGTCATTTACACAAATGGCTACTCAAAACCCAGTGTCAGATACTCTGAACAATTTTGTAGGGGTCTATAAAGACGAAGTGCTTATTAACCCTACCGTTTTTGAAGGGTAACTTGAGCGTTTTCCACCTGGACGCTGTGTTGCACTGTGTACGTAATACTGGCAGTATTTTTTTTCTGTATTTCAAATTTAGAATTGTATCGTAATTTATAAACTGTATTTTTCATTTTTATAAGTTGTATTTAACAATTTTATTCTTGTATTTTTTACATAGTTTTTTATGTGTGGCTTGGATGTGTCGAAATAACATTAAAAATGCAGAATTGTGTATCTATATGACGTATTCGACTGGACTTTGGTGTTACATTGTTCTCGCACAATCGAACCAAATAAAACTATATAACTAGAGAATTGTATTGTGAACCTATGGAGTTTGTATATCGTTCTTCTCCATAGGAATCTACACCTTGGAATGAGCAAATAGCTACGCTTTAATTTTTTGTTGACGTCCAAAAGTGTCTTTCTGATCTAATAATGATTTTGACTTTGACTTTATCAATCTAGTTTAGACGCAGTGTTACGTAAATAATTAAAACCTTTTACCTGTACAACAATTAACTCTAGAAATACAAAACTCAAACTAAAATTACTACTAATAGCATTAAACTAAACGAACTTTTCTTACTTCAAAACTAATTAGAGCGAAACTTTG